GCACTTAAGATTATTATTAGGGTAAATTTCATAAAGTTGAAATATCATGACAATATTATAAACAGTGACACCATCATGTGCATGTACATTCTTGGAGACATGGCTCGTTTTGTTTTGAGAGCTCTCCCAATATGGTTGTGCTGAATAAGGTACATGAATGATTCATATTTATGTTCCCAAGATGACGGCATATTCCATTTGAATTGTCCAGTGTGTGTAGGAGAATGTATCTATGGACAGCTTTGGTAAAAGTTTGTTTTCAGTACTTGGCCACTGAAAAATCCCTTAACTATTCAAGTCAGATTTGGAATATATATATATATATATATATATATATATATATATATATATATATATATATATATATATATATATATATATATACATATTCTTGTCAAGAATTGTCTCAGTAATAGGAGTTAGATTTAAATTGAATTTTTTTGTAGCATTTATTTTTGATTAGTTTAACTGTGATTATATTAACATAATCAGTTGATCTTTTTTCTTCAGGTTTTGAAAGCACTAGACCTGATAAAGATATCACCAAAAGGACTTGTATCCATATCAACTTGAAGATGAAAACTCCTGTGTCATACGACAAGTGAGGAACAATATGCTGAGCAATCTATGTCTGCACTGGCCTAGAGAAGGACTGCATTAATATGACTTTAAAATTGTACCATATATACTCCAAGATAACAACATAGACCTAGATATGCTGTCACATAATGTGGTCTTGTGTCAGGATCTCTGTTGTTTGTTCTTCTAATTACTTCTATGAAACTGCAGTGAACCAAATCTGCCAGTGACAATAGATCTGGGTCTGTGCAATTTGCTGTTCGACTTGACTTAAAATGTCAAGTGATAAAAGTAAACAACTATTTCTGACAGAAGGTATAAATTATCTGAGGTGACAATTCTACACTGATGTACAAGTGAAGTTACATGCCATTTGATTGAAAAAAATGGCAAAAAGGTTACACTGTAACTTGCTCTTATGAACACATCCACATAGAGTATTCATTGTAATTTTTCATTGTGGACATGTCTGTATGAAGAATACATTGAAACTAATCTTAGTACAGTAAATGCCGGCCTATAGGTCGATGTTGAGTGTAAATTGAAACACCAAATTTGGCAAATTTTCCATTCTTCAGCCCAATATAAGTTTTTGCTGAATTATACAAGGTCAGATAAATACCTTGGATTGTGGATACTATAAAGACGAAAATACACATGTATCTACATGTTCTCTGTGTATGTATGGGTGTAAACACAGGAACTATAATTTGTTTTTATTTGAACAGTAATAAAGACAGGGTTCCTGCAGGTCATGGAATCCTGGAAAAGTTTTGGAATTTAAAAAATAAATTTCAAGGGCCTTGAAAAGTTATGGAATTTGTCAAAACCTTGCAAAGTTTTGGAAAAGTCATGGAATTTGTGACAATGGAGTTAAAAAAAATTGATTACTTCAAATTTCATAGAGCACAGAGAACCGATTAAATAAAATGATAAAATTACAATCGATAAATGGTTTCAATTTATATAACAAGAGTAAGTTCCCATAATGGAAGTATCACATGATTTCCGGTGTAGTTCACTAAATAAAAGAAAGCAACTGGAAAGTAATGTGTTTTGTTAATATTGTAAATAGGAACACATACAAAGACTTCATAGAATTGTTTCCTTCTTTTTTTTAATACAAATTACATTGATCATTGGATTATGACATGAATTACTACATACAGTCATAGTGTGCTAGCCCAGGTAAATTTAAAATGTACATATTAAAAATATTTGTTGTTAACTTATTTCTTATTTTAGATTGAAAGATGTCATTCTTTATGTTCATTTACTTGACAATGCAAGATAATGCAGACCTTGAGTTTTATGAAATGGCCCTGGAAAAGTTTTGGAAAAGTCATGGAATTTGTTTTTGTTAAGTCTGCAGGAACCCTGTAAAGAGCAAAGTAAAGCATGATTGGAGTGCATTTGATATGAATTATTTACTTTTTTCCTAGTTATAGCACTTGTCAATCGGTCATACTTTATTGGACAGGTATCATAAACAGCCGATTATTCATGTTAGAATGGAGGTGGTATGATAAAGATTGACCATTTGAGAATGGAGGTTATCCGAAACAGTCTGTGTAAGTAGGTTTAATTCATCTTAGTCAAAAGTTAAAGGAAATATATAATATAATTTCGATGAATACTTTTGATCATTTTCACTCTCGTTCTGTGTATTTATTACTACGATTCTCAGTTTATCTTATTGGTCGAATCAAGTACAACTGAGTCATGCCATTACATGCATTTATCTATGAATAGGAGAAAAGTAAATAATTTACATCTAAATCACATCATATTTTACAAATCAGTGAGTATATCAGTTTTTCAGTGTATTTCGGTGTTACAGATTGACTTTTTCACTTGTTCAACACAGCATTGCAAATTTTATCCTATCTGTAACTCAGTAATGTTCTGGTCATGATCATGAAATGTAACTAAAAGTACCTAACTTATTTTACACAAAGTATTTTAAATGTATTATGTACTTTTAGATACATCTAATAATGCTCACCTGAAAATTTGTTGAATTACAGATAGGATTTTAAAAAACTCACGATGCCGTGTGGAATTAAACTATAGTAACTTCTGGTTTCATAAATATTAAAAGTATCACTTTATACTATTTTAATAAGGAAATTGCATTATTAATGCTAAAATGCTTTTTCCAGTTATATGGGGAAGAGAGATACAGAAAGAGGGATATATATGTATTCGTTTGCATTTTTCTTTTTGTAGCTCATGATCGAGAGAGAATTAAGCTCTTCGTGGGTGTTTTTTTTGTTTTCTTTCTACTTTATTGCCCTCGTTTAGCTGAAGCTTTTGTCAAAGATAGAAAACATTAAAAAATCAAACAAATTAAATTATGAAGATACATACCATACTCCTTCAGGGTTTAAATATTGACAGTAGTTAGGTTATATCCCGAGAATGACCATTTTGCATGCTGTCTATGCTATTCTTTGCAAGTTCATGTATAACAACCTCTCCATTCCCATCAAAAAATATTTTTTTTGAGTGCATGTACACTTCCTGTACTCGAGCATTAATTGATTTTTGATCTTTGCTCATGCTATAAATTGCTGTCAGTTCCAACGGGAAGTTCAGAAGATGTCACTAGCTAAAAACTTCACATGAGTAAACACCTGATATTCTTTTCATTATATGGTTCAGTATTAATAATAACTTTGGATAGCCTCATTTCCCTATTGGTAGCCTTGCTAATTCGATCTGGTCTGCCAAATCTTGACCTCAATCAGGTGTTAACTTGGAATGACTGAATACATCTGTAGCATATAATTAGCATGTACATACCACTACAGAGTAATTCTGGTGTAATGGAAGTAACAACAAAAATTAGAAGGAATTTCTTGATAGGTGGTATTAATTCATAATGGAATATGGTACTGCACTTGTACACGAGTAAGATCAGTCATCAGGAAAGTGAGCAATACAATACAGATTTACAATCATGAAGACATTCTCTCTCTCTCTCTCTCTCTCTCTCTCTCTCTCTCTCTCTCTCTCTCTCTCTCTCTCTCTCTCTCTCTCTCTCTCTCTCTCTCTCTCTCTCTCTCTCTCTCTCTCTCTCTCTCTCTCTCTCTCTCTCTCTCTCTCTCTCTCTCTCTCTCAATGGGGCATTTATATCATCATTAGGTGCAAGAAAAAATTAAGGTGGAATGTCTTTGTCATGGTTATTCATCTTCTAAGTTGTAAATTCCAGTGCACATATATGTAATCAAATTTAAACAACATATATTACAAACAATGTACATTACTGGTGTATACTGCTTTAGCACAATTACATCTGATGTATATTTTTTAATACTAACAATTATGTAATTGTTTAAAATGCTTAATATGGGATCCTATACATTTTCATACATAATCTCTTTCTCAAAATTAGATTTTTTTACACATTATTTTTTGTACTTTTGCAGAATTATTTTCCATATGAAAAATACAATAAGGTGATTCAAATAACATAGTTCACATACAAGTCAATACGGAGTACAAGACAAAGCTACGATTGTCTAGTATGAAATGTATCATCATCTTATAGGCTGGTAAATATGGTAGACATATCCTTATAACAACAAATGCTAATAAAACCAGTAATTGAAATCCCATCTTTTTTATTTTATTTACATATTTCACATCTATAAACAAGTTAGTAGCCTTTCTGTATCTTTTATACACTGGTTTCTCTGTATTCTACAAACACCTGATAATTACCTCCCCTCACAGCTCAGATCATGCCATTTGCCACAAGTTTAAGTCTGAGTGAAATGTGCAGAAAGGCTTTTTTTGTTTTTGACCTTGTTTTTTTTAAAATTTAAAATGTAATTGATAATATCAAAACGTAATAGCTTAAGGCTAGAAGATATTGCACTGTTCATTAATAAATGTATTGATCTTTCCATTAAAATAGGTATGCTTGTATTATCAGGATCTTGTACAGGTTTGAAAATGAAGCAAGATGCACACTTATTAATGAGTTGAGCTTGCAACTGATTGGATGGGCCTGTTGCCATAATGGAAATTGTAGCTCTGATCTCATTGTTATCAAAATTGTAATATTGGCTTTTGTCATCATGATCTTGGATTGGTTTAGTAAAAAGTGAGATCCATGCATATTTTTGATGAAAATTTGAATTGGATTTGCTGAACATGTATTCACTCTGATATTTAAATGATCATGCTCTTTGGCTGTCAGTCATCAGCTAGATTCATACATATTTATGAGGATGATCTTGCATGTAATTTGCTTATTGAGACACTGCATGCTATGATTCAGATCTCCTTATTATCAACAAGCTGATATGGACCTTTAACATCAAAATCTTTGGCAATTTCGAAAATACGCAGAATCAACACGTTGAATAGGTGATCATGCATCTGATTGGGTGACTTGGAACCATGCTTGAAACTGCTCTGGTGGCCTAGTGGTAGTGCACCTGCCTCAGATGTAAGAGGTTGCATGTTTGAACCCTGGCTGAGTCATACCAAAGACTTTTAAAAATGGTACTAACAGCTGCCTTGGTAGGCACTCAGAATTAAGAGGTTACTGTTAGGACTGATCTGCCTGGTGTCAAAATAATGTGACTGGGTGAGACATGTCTGCTGCACGATGCCCCAGTGCTCAACATCACTATAAACTATCACACTGCAGATATAGTGATATGACGAAAAAAATCATTAAAAAAGTCTTAATCACATACACACACACCATGTATAAAGCAATATTTTTGAACTGTTGGGATTATTATCATCAACATCTGGATGGTGTCAATTCTGAGCAAGTGGCTGTACATATTAATGATGCCTTCATCTTTGTGAAGAATTTTATTAAGGTACAGTAAGACAAGAAAAAAAACAGCATGATGAAAAGTTATCTGAGATAGTTTATGTAGAATGTGTTCTTGGTACAATATACTGCTTTGGTGGCTGAATGGTTAGAGCATCCGCCTGAGATGCAGGAGGTCGCATGATCTAACCCTAGCCGAGTTATACCAGAGACTTATAAAAATCATACTGGCAACTGCTTCACTTGACTCTCCACATTAAGAAATTAGTGTTAGGACTGATCAGCCTGGTATCAGGATGATGTGACTGAGTAGGACATTATGCTACATATCCATTACTATAAACTCCCACACTGCTGACATTGTGAATGAGAAACTGAATAAAGGACATGATAGCTACATAAGTAGATTTCACATTCCAACCAATTGCAACTCTTTTAATTGGAACATATTAAAAGCATTTTCATTTAAATCACTGATCTCCTTCTTTAGTTACTTTCTGGACATATAATTTTAAATTAGAAGATTTTTCAAGAAGATGCCGAACACTGAAAATACTTGCTTGAAACAATAATGATTAAGAGAGTTATTGTGCTGAAACAAGTACATTTAGTGTGTAAAACTCCATTCAGATGATAATGTAAGAAAGCAGATAATCAGATTCCCTTAGGGTATATTCATACATGCCAGCCATTAAGCTTTTGATTTAATCATTACGCTTTTTTCCACTAAGTTATGCCTTATGCATAAACATATTTTGATCATATGCCCCTCCCAAAACAATAATTTATTTTCTCTTTTTTTAACATCCCACTAATTGCACAGAACATATTCAAGAAAGACAGCTTCTATGTAACTATGACATAAGAGTACACTTGTTTGTAAACTAGTGAGCACTTTCCTAACAGTATTACATTCTATTTATAGCAGCTGCCCTATTTCCAAGAAACTGCAGGTTTGTATCAAACTTTTGACCTGGGTTTCTATTTATAGCAGCTAAGTGGCTTAGTTAGGATAGAACAGACTGGTTTTCTAATTTTTAATCTTTGCTCACTTATTCTTTGCTTTGTTATAAATCATATGTGGTACAGAACCAACCTGTAGGTATTTGGCACTAAAAGTCAAGTCAGATTTATTCTAGACAATGCATATGTTACAGCAAAAATGTTTCTTCAATGATTTCACAGATGGATTAGAAAGAAATGAAAAACCTATTCAAAGATGAATATATGAATTACAGAATACAGCATTCCATTCTAGGGTAGCTTCATGCCCATTGCAAGCTGTGTGGAAAGGATTTTAATGTTTGTCATGGTGTAAAACAATGAAGTCTTGAATTAGCTCATTTTACTAACTCCAGTAGTAAGATAACTTCTTTTTTACAACAGAACTAAATTGTTGAAATGAATTTTATAAATGCAAGGGCATTATTTACAGAGTTCTTAATATAACGCTTACTACCCCTAGCACTAGAATCAGCATTGTTCCTTTGTTCAAATGGATTCTTCCAGTTGGAAAAATTGCAGAAAATATGCATGTGCAAGAATAAAATCATTTAATATTGTTAGCTGTTTAGCAGAAGGTACATCACTTAAAATTGCAGAAGTCATGAAAATTGGGCCCTTTATTATTGCAACAGACAGGAGCAGTGATTATGATGGCAAAAAGTTGTACCAAGCCTGTGTAAGAGACTTTAACAATGAAAAGAGCAAGGAAATCGTGCTCTTCTTTCATTACCAGAATTAACAGCAAATTCCACTGGATAAAACATTATCTAATTGTTTGATATTTTGAATAAACATAAGTTGGCAGAATTATTTGGGGTTTTCAGTTGATAATGCATTTGTGATGACTGGAATTCATAAAGAAGTTGCATTCTATATTTTGAAAAATATCTCCATGATGGTACATATCAGGTTGTCCTTGTCATATGATGCATGTTGCTGCCAATAAATTAGAAGAACTTCTAAAGTAGCAAGTTAGCATTCAACCTGATAATGTACTTCATGTGGACAGAGTTGATGTGCAATGACATTATTTCCCAGCTAAAAGACCCAATAACTGGAAGATATAAATTTTCTCTTCTTTGTCAGGTCATGAAAGGATTATTGGTTCTCTGAGAGATTGTTCAGTATTGTTAACAAAAATAAAACTGAAATAATATCCAGGCTTTGTAACCCAGTACTTAGTGCTCTGCTAGTGTGCAGAACATTAATAGTCTAAGCTGGTACAAAGTGTTTTGAATTGCAATTTGATAGTCTGCAGTTTTTTAAAGCTAAAAATGCTATATATGAAAACCTGAAGCAGTAATTCATGTTAAAAGATAAGAGGGGTAAATAAATCATTTTGTATATATGCATTAAATTTTATTATGTTATATGTGGATTACTCTTTTTCTGCTTAGATTACTCTTTTTGTCCAGTTGGATTACACCTTTACCTCGTCAGGGGTTGGCATGTATGTATATTGAATTAAAGTTGTAGATAAAACTCTCTTGAAATCCAATACCAATTAAGGGATCATTAATGTACAGCAAGATTGGATGGGTCTATTAATTTCGGTCATTGTCTGCTAAATGATGATTATGAAAGTTAAAAATCAAAGCAGACAAAGTATCAATAAAAATTTTTTTTAAATCATTAATTATTCAAAGCAAATATCTCAAGTATGCAGAAAGGAAAGTGGACGAGTCTGATAATCATTGGCTATATTTCATGTACAAAATGATGCAGCATGCTGAAAATCTTATTCAGTATCATCATCAAACTTGACCAAGGTTTCAAGATGCCCTAATTGCTTTGAAATCCATTAATATGTACATATACATTAGTATCAGTATCAAACAACATACCAAATTTGGTTCGGAGACTATAATAACAGGAAGATGGATTCATGTCCTGCCAAAAATGTCTGCAGAAGACAGATGGATTTTATCTTGGTTGGATGAACAAATGGATGAAAGCATAATATTATTGAAATTGAAGAATAGTTACTATGAAAAGCACATGTATTCCACTAACCAAATACTTGTTCCAAGTTTAATAAAGATATTTTACTATTTGATAAGTACCAAATAAAAATGTTTAGGGTGTTTTATAAAAATACTTAAATATTTATTTTTAAAAAATTAAAATATTTGTGTTTATATATATATATATATATATATATATATATATATATATATATATATATATATATATATATATATATATATATATACACACACACACAGTATATCCTAAACCTGAGACCAAAGTTTATACTCTCGTCACCGATATGCTTCCAGTTTACATATCTTCTTTAAGGTCATGTAAGAAGTTCAAATACCAGTTTACAAAGTTTGCTTCACCTTCTAGCCATGTGATATTCAAATCAATAAATTTCATTTCACATGATGTAATTAAACAAAAAAGGTGTAATTCGTTGTTTTTTTTTAAAAATTCAGATTTTTTTGTTGAATTGTTGTACATATTTTGAAGTGTAATTAGAATACTGTCACATTGTACATGTACAATATACTTTGTCATTAAAGGCAAAAAAAAAGCCATACATTAGTCTGTTGACCTGGTTTGAATCATTCAGCAATGTGCTTACAATTAATCGTAACTTAAAAGATTTGTTTAACACTTTTGTCTTGCTTCCCTCCAAAATCCAGAAATATCAAGATGAATGGAAATCTAACTTTACAGCAATTATTATCACTTGGTTTAATTTGATTATGTTGAGTGGTATTTTTTAGTGGAAGATTGTTATTAACTTTCTTGGGATGAATGGATGTATGTAAGATGTTATATATACAATTTTATGTGATGTCAAACAAAACATCCCTTTCCCCACCATGGGTCTTATTTTGAATGTATTTTCCAGACACTACTCCAATAGTTATTTAGCATCAAATCTAATTCTGTCTTACTCTCATACCAGGATCTTTTCAAATAACTCTGTTCTTATAATTAAACTTCCTTACTGCTTTACTTTAATTGATGTCATTATTAGAATTCCTTTACATATCCATTTCTAGTCACTAATGTATATGTGTTTGTAAATGCCACCATTGAGAGTACATTGCAATGAGTCAAGATTGCTAAAGACCTTTTGACATACATCACTCTCTTGGGGGTCGCTTTACATCTTGAGGGTCGCTTTACATCTTGAGACTTGGCATACATGATGTTTGCTGCTTTGCTTTTAAACCTACAAAACATTCTTTCACCAACTTCAGTCTTAAATTTTAGTAAAATAAATCAGCCATATACAAATTTGCCTTTTTTTAAAATCACATTTTATATTATATTAATTGGAACTCTCTCTCTCTCTCTCTCTCTCTCTCTCTCTCTCTCTCTCTCTCTCTCTCTCTCTCTCTCTCTCTCTCTCTCTCTCTCTCTCTCTCTCTCTCACTCTATATATATATATATATATATATATATATATATATATATATATATATATATATATATATATATATATATATATACATACATACTAAAAAATTTGTGAAAGATATTCATAGAAGTTTATTCTGGAATTATTTGGAAACAGATTGATTCAAGTGAGGAATTGTTGATATTTATACAGTGGACTACATCTGACGTCATCGCCTTCCATATTCGTACGTCGCAGGGACTCGAACCTGGATTCTTATAGGACTATTTAGTGACAGGACTTGTGTTTTCATTCTTAGGATCAAATTTTGGAGTA